CCTCGAAAGCATGAGTCGCACGCTCAAACATTGAATTGAGGCCTTGAATATCAGACCCCATCTGCTGGAGGGCCAATGGCATTGACAGGCGTGCTGACTTTCCCGAATCTCCGGACTTCATCGAATATGCAGGACAGACAACAGCGAGTGTGCTATCATCGTCATTGATAGCTTTCCATTTGCCGGAAGCAGTCAATGATGGCGCACTAGGGAAGATGGATGCATCAAGTGGGAGTTGGTGCGAAGCACCAAAGATTGAGGGCCCTGCGGCATTGGTATCACCGGTAGGGCCCATTTGAGGATCTGAGTCGGCGACAACAGTCGCGCGCTCAGGACCAGCCTGCACTGTGGTACTAAACTCGAGCCCATCAAGGGCATCTCCAAGATCCGACATGTGGACTTCATCGAAAGAGGAAGAGGCGACTGCATTGTTGTTAGAGTGTGAGGGAATGTTGGCAATGTTCGAGTTAGAGCGCTGTGTGATGCCGGTGGCAAAAAAGGAGTGGTTGTTCGCAGTTTTGACAGGGATGAGACCCTTCAATGAGTCATAGTGCTTCCACCCTTTGTCCTTGAGGCTCTTGGCTTTGGAGTTTTTCTATTGGTACGTAGTACTCATTAGCATAGTGCTGTGCAGAGTCGAGTCGCCATACCTTGACAAAGTCTGCCCACATACTTTCTGACTCTGCGGTAATCGAGGCTCCATTCTCCAAGCTGTAAGACAATCCAGATGTGTTAGCCACTTTGTGGACTACGTTGTATAGACTTCGGAGCTAGAAGTTCATCAGTGAAGGTTTGACTGATCGAGAGTGAGATAGCATGCACCCGTGCCCATTTCGATTGACACGCCATTGGTGTCTTGGGTGCACCTGAGCAGGCATGGTTTGCCATGCTATCAGCAATAGAGACCCAGAATTTCTTGTCAAAGTTCATGCCATCCCCGCCTTTGGGGCGGTTGGCAGTGATATACTCGATGAGTAAAGTCTCATCCATTTCGGTCCATACACATTGATCCTTTGATTCCGTCGCTTCTAAACCACCACGAGCACTTTTGCAACCGCGTGACATCCTGTGAGTGTTGTGTAGATAGATGGACTGTCGTCGAGTAATGGGCATGCCAGCGATTGTGATTGATCTATGTATGTCACATTGTGACCAGCAAATCACCTAAGCCAAAATTTTGTGTGAGTCAAATCCAAATTTGCGTAAACAAGGGTGCCCGAACAGACTCTTAGCGGCCCCGGCAAGGAAAGGTCGGAAGGAGACCAATCTTGACATTAGTGATGCAGAAGAAAACCCCATGGCTCCTTCCCAGCTCCAGAAACTGAAGAAAAGTGTGTATAGTTGATATTCTAATATAAACTCCCAAAAGCTAACATTCTTTCAGGCTACTACTAAAAGGTCTCTGACCGGGAGCTCCAATCTTACTCAGTGTTCTGTTGGTATCAACAAGAATGTCCATCCTGGATGCCAGCAACCTAACCCAGGATGCCAACACTCTGACGCATCTCTCCGAACAGCCCCAAGCACAGCTCAGTCTTCAGGTAGGTTTGGGTTTCGGCAGCCCACTTCAACTGGCAGTCAGAACACCCAGAAGGCGCCACGGTCTAATGAGCGTACCCATGAGGAGGAGGCTGGAAATCAAGCTCCAGAGCATGGTATCGGTGACAACGACGACCAGGACCAGGACCAAACTGACGGGGAAAATGAGGAAAGGTACATCTTCTGCTACTATCTCATCCGTCTGTTGTCACATGTGCCCAATGCAGGGACGAAGTTCAGGACCAGGAGCAAACACTTGAAACAGGTGATACCACGGACTTTGGACAACACGAAGACGATTTGGATGGCATGTACGAAGGTGAAGCTCAGGAAGATTTCGACCATGAGCCCGATACTGTGGACGATTTTCTGAATCAAGGTATGATGGGATCTCAACGTTTAGCCTGATGCTTAGGGATTTCAATCAAGGTATTGATGGGGATTTTGACGACGAGCCTGGTACTCAGAGGGACGAACCTGACGCTCAGGACAGTGGTATTGATGATGATTTCAACAATGAGCTCGACAACGCAGCCAGAGACGAAACAGAGGAAAGTGTTTTCATTTTTGTCTTGAGGTTAATCTTATCACACACTCTTCAGGAAGCTTTTGATGTTCTCGAGCGTCATCAAATGAAGAATGGATGGCGCAAGGCTCCTTCCTTAACTTATCTATTGAAGGCGAAACATACTGAACGCAGACGTGCTTCTAGCCAGTCGAAGTCTCCTCATCAACTGTCACCTCGACATGTGGTGTCTACTGGGTCATCTGCTCTAGTGCGACCTCCTAAATGTGAGTGCTAACCTCACATTACTTCTAACCACTCAAAGTATCCAGACCAGTGTTCGGTGTCGCCTTGTAGACACACATCTCAGCGTGTCCCGTCCATGCGCCCTTCTTCCTCCCACGTGCACTCTCGCCATTCTACATGCTCAAGGTCTCCATATCGGTGTTTGGTGTCGGCTCGTACTAGACATACATCTCAGCGTGTCCCATCTACACACCCTTCTTCCTCCCGCGTGCACTCTCGCCATTCTACACGCTCAAGATCTCCATATCGGTGTTCGGCATCACCTCATACACGCGTATCTCAGCGTCCCCCCCACATGCAGTTTCCTCATCGGCGTTCTCCATCTAGGCGAAGCACTTCCTCCAGTCATGCTACACATGATGAGCCAGATTCATACAGAAATAAGCGCAAGGCCAAGATAGTCCAAGAGGACCCCGCAAAGCTCGGCTTTTACCCACCTGCCTGGCAAGCATTTTTGCAGGCAGCGAAGTTAGAAATGCGTCTGCAGGCTGTTCTAACACATCCCATTCCAGATCATCGAGAGGCGCTACAACTTGCGCAAGAAGTTCTTGACGCTGAATTGTGGATGTACCACAAAAAAAAGATCAAATTGGACAACGGTAAATAGGTTCCTCACATTGCCTGACCCCCTTTGCGAATCTCATCTTGCTTCTTAGGCTATTTTCCGCAGTACACGACACAAATGTCGCAGCTGGTAAGTGTCTCATTAATGGATGTACTATAAACTTATATCTTTACTGTCAGCTCTGTGATGATCTATTTACGTTTCGCACGGAGCTGAAGAAAGTTGTTATCTCCGTCGCGAAAGCATCATACGATATCTTCCCGAAGGGCACCATGGCGCGCAAGGATGAGGTACAGAAATGTGTCATTGTGAAGGCCACCAAGTTACTCAAGACCGGTGATTATCTTTATGTTCCTGATTCATCTAATGTATGGTTACCTGTTTACGCCTCCCAAGGCAGCCACTCACTATTAGTTTTATAGGGCAAATGGAAGAATTTTGTCTTGCAAGCTCTCAGGGATGGCTGCCTCGAATTCTACTATGGTAATAGCAAGAAAGCCCTCAAGAACACATCTGAATTTCAACGTGCAATACCTGTCAATGGGCTGCTTCTTGTGGGCGCCGTGGTGTGCCCTGTTTTTTATTTTATTTGTGTTATTTAGTCATTGACGAATCAACAGATGAAGGGTGTCCTCACTGGGTTTTGCGAGACCGGCACTGACAAAGTCCCAGACCTCTCTGCAGATAAATGTAGGGTTGATTTCAACTCGCTGCAGAGGTCTACAGACGCACTTCTAGAAAATCCTGACTGTCGTGCGGAGCTCGAGGAGATGTTGGAGCAGTGGGCTATGATTGGGGCGGGTGACCTTGATTTTGACGAGGGTGGTATGGGAGGCAGTGATATGGAGGATGTCAACATCATCTTATAATCTAGCATACTCTCTCATTCAGCATGTTGTAATTTGTGACAATCAGCATGGTTTTTGCATCCTTTACAAGCCTGTACAATGTCTAGCAACTGCATAAACTTATATAAAATGTGCCACCTATACAACATGTGCCACCTATACAACATGTATCACCTACACAACATGTATCATGTGTATTGTCTGTACAAAGGCACAGACTGTAACATTTGTATATATTGTGAGACCTTGTGACAGGACTGTAAAGGGTAGACTTTCCTGTGTGACTGTAAGGCTTGTACAGGCTTGTACAGTCTTGTACAACATTGTACAGGTACCAGCTGGTTTGCTGATGAAAGAGAAACCACTATGGTGTAGTGGTAAGTTATACTCCCTTTTTTGCCTTACGACCCGCGTTCGAATCTTCCCCTTGCCTTTATTATTGAGCTGATACAAATGGGAGATACAAACAAGGTCAAACTCTTGCACCACCAACAACTTGTGCCAGTCGGCCAAGTGTGTTAGAGTCTAAAGTTGTGCTGTTTGAATTATTGTTGGTTGTATTTGGTTTGTGTGGCGGCACTCGGATGTACTCTCAACACACTGCTGATGGGTAGGAGTCTGTCCAGAACCTAGGTCCAAACCCGAACATCAGCAAATCATCGAGTGCCTTTTCGTGCCTTATTTGCTCCTTAAGTGCCTTAATTCGTACAATAAGGCAAATTTAAGGCCGTTTTTCTGCCTTAAAATAAGGCGAAAAAAGTAGATCCACTTCCTTAAACCAAGGCAGTTCACTTAAAATCAGGCAAATAAGGCAGCTAAGGATATCATTATTTTGTAGGACAGAATGATACTAAGTAGACTAAGGCGAAAAAGGATATCAATTGGTTCAAGGCAATCTATGAAAATGATGAAAAAAAATTAGAAAATGCATATGAAAGGAATTGACGATGGCGTGAGCAGGGATTGAAGTGATTGATGATTTGAGGCGGGGAGATGCGCACATATAGTGGCCAACCAAGTTCTGTTAAATATAATGGTGTCAGAGCAAGAAAAATCGAAATAAAGAAATAAAGAAACAAATACTACAGATACGGATATGCAAACACAGATTCATGGGGACCTGACTTCCATCATTGAGAATATTGTCTTTGTCTGGACCCCTGCAGCGAGTACGCTTCATGTACGCTTGAGATCGTTGGATGATTTCTTGCACGCAGTCGAAGGGCAGCTCCTTGATTCACTCCATGTATGTGATCATATCAGTCTCCCAATTGCCCAAAGAAAAAGCAGTGCCTGTGTTACTCATTTTGTTGGTGGCGTGGTTGAGCGTCAACATGACCTTGTGTTTCCCTTGGTCCGAAGTATCTTCCACAATGAGGTCGTTGCGAGCTAAAATAAGTGCACACTCGGCCTGCAAATGATAAATTAGTAACTTTTGTAAAGGCGATGCAAAACTCATGGCTGCGGTGGTCAGTGCAAGGGCTGTTGCATGTCCAGGTAACTCGAAGTCAAGCAAGTCAATTATCTGGCATCCTTGGGTGGCGTTGAGTTGAACAGCGAAGATGTGCAAAATGAATTCTGATAAGAAAGCTCCAGGCAAGTCTTCACTATCCGGGTCTTCATACACAAAGCGTGAATCTTCGAGTTGATATTCGGTGTATGCTTTCTGTGCCTCCTTAGTGTTGTATTCATCTGTCGAGGCAAAAAATGTCATGAGGATGCTGATAGCAGTGGAGCCAAAATTTCCTCTCCACTCAGAGATCCTTTGAGATACCTGCCAGCATTGCGGTCAACTAATAGTACTAGAATAGGAATTCACTCACAAGAGTGAAGGCGAGATTGCAGCCATCATCATACTGAAAGTTTCCAGCAGTGGGATCCACCACCAGGGAGATATCGTCGAGAATGTCTGAAAACTTCTGCTCCAGGATAGATAGTCCATGGATATTGGCTATTTCCGACCCAGTGGATGACCGTTGGAATAAATACGGAACGAAAGGTCGAGTTCTGAGCACCGCTGGGTAGGTGCGAATTCTTTGGTTTTACTCTCTTCTGATTGAGTCTAAGTGGTGCACATCCATTTTCAGTTTTGATGTACTTAGGTGTCTGGTCGTCTGTTGCGATCTCCATAACACTAACTGACATCTGCAAAGGAATTTGTCAGTACTGAGGCTACCAGAGTAGATTCTGCCGACAGAGGTTGTGAGCCGACTGTTTGACACTTCACAGACCTATGAAATTCCGGAACCATGGTAAGTGATTCATCTATTTCACAGGAACCACTAGTACTTACCTCAATGTCACCCTGCTGATCCGTCATGTCGACATCCTCCTGAACATCTTCATCAGCATCTTGGTCTTCCTCCATTTCACGCTGCTCTTCGGGTTCAAGGTCGTCTGTCAAGGCCGTGGATAATCCACGTTTTCGTCCCCTCGGTTCATCAGTGGTCTGAGAAATATGCACAATGCCCTGCCTTTATTCAAGTAGTTCCCATTCGCAAGCATGAATTCACTCACCAGCCCACCCCAACTCGTAGGTATGCTATCGTCATGATCTTCAGGTGGGTCGTCGTCTTCGAATCCTTCTGCATAATTGTGTGCGATCACTGAAAATTTATTAGTGATGTGCACAAAAATCAGACTGTACTTACCGCTGGCACGTGCACTTGGTGGCGCAGAAGGCTTCACTTGGGACTTGGACACCACACCTCTGGCCCACTTCCCTACTCCCGCTCCCTCTGCAAGCTTGGATGATTCAGATCCCCTACATTGTAGGGAGTGGAACAGATCAAAGTAATAAAGAGTCAGCTCTGATAGAAGTAACATCACAGTTAAGACAAACTTACAGCGACTTCCGGAATTTCCCATTATCAACGGCGCTTCCAACACGTGTTTCACTTAAGGATGCTACATCATTATTGGACACTTTTCGACTGGCGTTCACACCATCCTTGAAGGTGAGTTTCAAGCCTGGATATTTTTTCCTTTGGGTGTTGGTGTCTTGAGACGCTGGACTTGTCCCAACAGCTGTACAAATGGTATAGGATTGGTAAGTCCTTGCAACATTATATATTTCGTAAGGCTTATGTGTCTTGTTGAGGTTTTGTTACGACAAGCGGTCGTGTGCGACTAGGATGATCTAAACAGCGACAACCACGACAGTGGTACCGAGTGCTGAGAGTCGTCGGCCTTTACAGACAAGCAAAGGTTGCGTACTCGAACGTAGCTCATGGTGGTTAACGAGGGGTTACGCTGAGATGATAGCAGGGTTTACAGACAGTGAGAGGCGTCACTGAAGGTACGAGTCGATGTCGAGCAGGTAGCTTTAGCGGGACAAGGAGTTCAAGGGTAAACCTAGTAAGATTAAAGTAAGGAACATCTACTTTAATCTTCGACCTTATATAAGGCTACTCTATCGTATCTAAGCTCAGCCTAAAGCTGGGTTCTAATATGCTTATCTACATGAGTCAGAGATAGCGTCCATGAGGCGGGCTTCTATCGTAGATAGCGTCCATGCGGTACGCTTCTATCAGAGATAGGATCCACGTGGTATCCTTCTATCAGTACACGAGGCAACACGAGGCTTGCCTTCTATCTTGATAACATAAATAGGTCTTCTAGACCTATGTCGTCATGTCCATGTCACGTGCGGTCCAGACCGCTGACTAAGCCGGCAGTTGCCGCTTATCGTCTCTCATCTATCATCATCTATCGTCTATAGAGGTGGTGAGGCTCCGGTGTCGTCTATAGCCGTGCGGGTGGCAGAGGGCTCTCTGCTGGCGGGGGACTCGTGCCATGTTACTGTAACATTACCCCTCTACTAGCGTCAAAGTCACCGACTTTGAGTATCCTGTGTTCTTCGTCAGCTTCCATCGTCGGGGGTGTCGTAGGCGTGGAGACGGCTGGTACGGGGGGAGTTTCTGGTTCGGGCGAAGGCGGTGCTGGGTGTCTAAGCGTGAGGTCCGCAAGCGCTTTATGGTTATGCTCCCAATCTAAGAGAGCTTCGAAAAACTTCTCTTCATCTCTAAACTCTTGGAGTACGATGCGTCCATTGAGCTGAGGGCAGTGGACCGACAGGTGGTCGGGTCCTAGTTCGTCGCAGACGCAACAAACATAATCTGGACACTTTCTAAATGTGTGTCCGTATCCTCCGCAACGCTTGCAGAGCGTGGTACGGGTACGATCTATAGTGGCCGCCTTTCGTCTCAGCGGGCGCACTGGTCTGGATCTTTCTTCAACATGAGGCCTTGCCTCGACTGTTCTGACAGCTTGGTTCGCGATGTCTGGGAAGTCGAGCGGAAGGAGGTGAAGCGCGAGTACGCGAATCCTTTTCTGTAAATGAAGCACGGCAAGTTTCTTCGTGCCTTCATCGAGGTCATCACGATTGGCTACGTCTTCCAGTAGCTTCGTGGTACGGATAATGCAGACAGCAAGGGATGTCCCTGCACCGAGTCTGGCATCTTGCTCACCAAGGATGTCGTCGATCACTTGGGAGTACATAGGGGTGAGAATAGCGGTCTCGCTGAACGCGTTGTTCTCAATCGTCTTAAGGATGCGTCCGTAGTCGGAGTCCTTAAGTGCAATGCGGATAGTTTCTTCTTCAATAGAGGTCGTCATGATGTTGGGAGGTTCTGGGGAATGTAGACATTCACGGGAGGCTTATATGGTTGCTCCATGTCGTTTCCAAGCTCCGCTTGATTCGAGACTTATCTTTTGTTGATATCTTCTATCGCTATCTATCTAGCCATGAGGCTTAGATCTTCTCGTTATCGGGACACGAGGTGCGGTTCTTCACTATCAGAGGGGAGGTGCCGTGATAGGTACGATCTTCGTTAATCCTTTGTTTATACTCGGGATCAAGGTTCGTCTTCATCAGAGGGTGGTAATCATTGCCATAATGGAAGTGGGTGTGTTCCGTTATCTTTTGTTTGATTCGGTTCACGGATCTAGAGGGTTCCGAGGGCTTGCAGGAGTTTCCGAGGAGTTCGTCTCATGATAGTTTTACCTCATTCCGGAGGGTCGTCTTCATCATCTTTTGTTGATCAGAGTCGAAGTCGTTCTAGAGGATTCCATGGGTAGGGGTTCGCCTCGTGATAGTTTAGCCTCGTTCCGGAGGATCGTCTTCATCTCTTGTTTCATTAAGGTAGAAGTCGTTCTAGAGGATTCCATGGATAAGGAGTTCGCCTCGTGATAGTTTAGCCTCGTTCCGGAGGATCGTCTTCTTATCTTTTGTTGAGATCTGTCATGATCTATCTGGATGTCGAAGGGGGTTCTGTGGATAAGAGATCCGCGGGCTTGCAGGAGTTTCCGAGGGTTCGTTCTGTCTCCGGTTCTTCTTCGTTATCTTTCGTTTCGATCTATATTTCAAGATCTATCTGGATGTGGAAGGTCATCTTCTTTTAACCTTTTGTTGATATAATCTTCATTGGGTGAGGAAGGTGCGGGGTCCAGGCGCAGGTGCCAAGGCTTGCAGGAGTTTCTTGGGGTCGTCTCGCGAGGAGGGGTCTTCTTAATCTATGTTGAGTAAATCTTCATTGATTGTCGAAGGATCGTGGATAAGGGGTTCCAGGGCTGTGGGGGCCGTTCGGGGAGTTCGTCCTTTCTCCTAGTTTTACGTCTTCTCGGACGATCATAGTTTTAGGTCGTTACGGACCGCTGCGCAGTTTAAAGCCTTGCCGGGCTCTTCGTAGTTTACCCTCGTTGCGGAGCATCGTCGAAGTCGTCATCAAAGATCATAGAGAAGTAGTCGGGAAATGGTATTCGTGGTAGGGGGTCGTGCGTGAAACGGGAATAAATCAGGGATTTTACCCCCTCAATAAGCCGTTAGTCTACCATGACTAATCTTCAGTCTAAAAATCAAGGCCGTCGTCAGGGCCTTCGTACTCGATTTCGTTTCCTTCGTCATCAACCATGCGCCAGGCGTGCGTCGATGGTTCTTCTAAATCCAACCATATGTTTTCAATGGGATTGGAAGCAGGGTGTGGCGCGTGTAGCGCCCCTAGGTCGGAAGCGAGCGTTATTGCTTCGTCGCTTCGGTCATCATCGGATTCCATATCTGTGAAGCGGACAAATTGCGGTCCGACTTCGTCTTCTTCCTTCTTTACAAGACGAGCAAACTCGTCAGGGTCATTTTTACTCAGATCCTTCAGGCGGTGGGCCTCGTTTATAATACGAACACGTTCTAAGAACATGTCGAAGTCCGAGTCAGAGGACGGTTCAGGTGCGGGTTCCCGGTGTTGCATCATTGCATCGATGTTATCAGCGGGGATCTCCGCGGAAGGCATGGAGAGGTTCAGGGAATTCGGGATGGGGTTTTCGTCGGCTGTGTCGGTGTCATCAGCCGGGCTTTCGTAAAACCTGAGTTTCTTGGCTTCAGGTGGTTCTGCCGTCGATACGGCTCTTCCTTTTCCGAGAACGGAGATCGGTTCTCCAGAAAATTCAAATCTAGGGGTCGTCTGAGTTTTCTCTGGTTCAGGGGCCAGTCTAGGTGCCTTCGAGATAGGCGGTTCTTCTGTCATAACTGCACGTCCTTTTCCGAGGACTGATGCAGGCTCCGCCGAGAACTGATAAGGTCCAGGAGTCTCTTCTTTCATCGGCTGAACAGCCGGTCCGATCTTCTTCGCGTGTGTTTCCGGGATGATATAGTCCGAAATTACCGCAGGTCTTACGACCTTCTTCTGAGTTGTCTCCGGATCAGTGGCCGGTTTCTTCTGCTCAAATCGCTTTGCTGCGAGGTCGATACGAGGCAGCGAATCTTTCTTTGCGATTTTTGTAGATCGCGCGGTGGGGATAGGGAGTTTCACGGATGGCGGGTTTCCGTGCGGTTCTTCAGGAACCGGTACGATCTTCATTGTTGGTGCCAAGCTCATAGAAGCGAGGCCACTGGAGAAGGCGCGGGGAGTGGTTGGGGAAACGGACCTTTTCCTTTTCTGTGCGCCCCTCTTTTCTTCTTTCTGGAAGAGGGGCGTCTTGCCGTTCTTCTTCCGGTCGGAGTCAATCTCCTTTTCTTTCTTTCGGGAATCTGCGGTGCTTTTGAGAGTCACCGTGCCGTTCATCCAGTTGATGGTGGGGTTATGGCTGATAAGCCAGGGTTGTCCGAGCATGAGCTTCTCTTTTGGAGTAAGCTCGGCAAGGTAAAACCGTTCGGTGCATACCCGTTCGTCTACCTGGAAGGAGAGGGTGCAATACCTCTCGATTGGCTTCTTTCCGAAGCTGGATCCGTCAGCGTTAGAGAGCGTGAAAGGCTTCTCTAGCTGGTGCGACGAGATTCTGTGTGTAGTACAGAAGTCTTTGTTTATGAAGGACTGACACGCCCCGGAGTCTACGACCATGGATGTCGCGATGGGAGTGTTTCTCGTTCTGGTTAGTAGGGTGGCGTTCACCCGTAGTTCGTTCTTCTTAACTCCGGTCTCTTTGATAGAGTTCAACCGGAGGTCTTCTTCGATCATCTTTCTCCGCGGGGTTCTGGGCCACTGTGGGCAGCCCGCGGCTTTGTGGCCAATGACGTGGCATACAAAGCATCTTTTCTCGTTCAGGTAGATACGAGTTTCCTTTCCCGTAAGGTGGGAAGCGGCCAAGGTGTTTCGGGAAGTTGCCATATTGGAGATGGTTATCTTCGATCTTCGTAGTGTTCCGAGCAGGAAGTTTTCTACTGTGACAGCGGTTCTTATATTCTTGCGACTGGTCAGGCCGGTACGTTTCGGGGTTTCTTCTACAGATCTTCGGTAGCGTTGAAGATAGGTGCGATCAGGGATCTGGCGTCACAGATGGGTGACGTGCGATTTGGACTTTAATCTTTTGTTACGACAAGCGGTCGTGTGCGACTAGGATGATCTAAACAGCGACAACCACGACAGTGGTACCGAGTGCTGAGAGTCGTCGGCCTTTACAGACAAGCAAAGGTTGCGTACTCGAACGTAGCTCGTGGTGGTTAACGAGGGGTTACGCTGAGATGATAGCAGGGTTTACAGACAGTGAGAGGCGTCACTGAAGGTACGAGTCGATGTCGAGCAGGTAGCTTTAGCGGGACAAGGAGTTCAAGGGTAAACCTAGTAAGATTAAAGTAAGGAACATCTACTTTAATCTTCGACCTTATATAAGGCTACTCTATCGTATCTAAGCTCAGCCTAAAGCTGGGTTCTAATATGCTTATCTACATGAGTCAGAGATAGCGTCCATGAGGCGGGCTTCTATCGTAGATAGCGTCCATGCGGTACGCTTCTATCAGAGATAGGATCCACGTGGTATCCTTCTATCAGTACACGAGGCAACACGAGGCTTGCCTTCTATCTTGATAACATAAATAGGTCTTCTAGACCTATGTCGTCATGTCCATGTCACGTGCGGTCCAGACCGCTGACTAAGCCGGCAGTTGCCGCTTATCGTCTCTCATCTATCATCATCTATCGTCTATAGAGGTGGTGAGGCTCCGGTGTCGTCTATAGCCGTGCGGGTGGCAGAGGGCTCTCTGCTGGCGGGGGACTCGTGCCATGTTACTGTAACAGGTTTGCAGTTGGCGCTGTGACTGCCTTGGTCGCTGGGTGCGGCTTAGGCTTTGCTCTGACAAGGGGTCCAGGGCCAGCACATTGAGCCATCTGCTCGACAGCCATGGCATCTTCCTTTGCAGCGACCTGCTTTTGGGCATTATCCAAGGCAGTCACCTTGGCTGATTTCTCTGCTGATGCCTTCTTTTTTTCAGCAGCAATTACCTCCTATGGGCGCGCCACACAATTCGCATCAAGAACTACCTGTCCGGGATGTATGTTGGCATTCCCTGGGCATGTTGCGGGCCGAGGCATATGTAGAGAATAGAGAGAGCAAGGACAAGCTGTTGAAGGAACATTGGCAGTAAGGCGTTGAAGGAATGTAGACGCTAGCAGAAAAGTGGCAATGAACCAGCAAATTTTTATTCATTCAATATTGAACATGTCATAATTTTTGATTCACACACTTACTAGCTAGTATTAGTCTAATCTGCATTCTATATACTCCATTTCCTGGTATCCGTTGCCAACTGCGACTGCTCACCGCTCACCATGGCCCCAGCTGTCACCAGGCTTGTCTGTTGATTTCCGAACTGCAACAGGGTCTTCAAAACAAGTCTGGCCTCACCCAACACACAAATACGAAGCATAGTGCTCAACAAATACAGCGAGACCTCAATCGCACAACTCCACTTGCAGGTCCCAGATTTATACCTCCGAGAAGTCATTCTCCCACTCCAACAGGTGAAAATCAGGTTATCGACGAGAATTTCCATCAAGACACAGCAGGTGAGCAGGAGGATGGAGGCTTTGTACCTGAGGAAGGTACTTGGGTGGATATGGGGCGTTTATTCCGCACATTCCATCCACACCTCACAGGTGAGTGTTTTTTTAGGAGTCCATCATACCATGTCACTCATTTCTTTTGACTTAGGACTCAAATGTGATGCTAACGGGTCATTTATCGACCAGGATGCACCCCCACTGCCTCATATGGATGCTCCCCCGACCGACTGGACACCTTATAACGATCAAGCTGAATTTGAGATGGCAGAGTTCTTATTCATGTGTAATCAAATGTCCGCAAAGCAGATTAATACACTTCTCTACTTGTGGGCCGCAATTCTCATTAAG